TCTGGTATCACTATTATTTATTTGTCTGCAGAATGTTGAAGAGGCAACCTAATTCTGTCAATTGCTTGCCAAAGTGTCAGCACTGGCTTACATACATACAGTTGATCAGAAGACCACTGAAAGTAACTTCTAAGTGTCTAGATATGAACATAATTTAAATCACTAGCAATTACACCTTTAAACCATGAAACTTTGTGTGTGGCCTGTGCAGAAGATGGGCTGTAGGGAGGTAAGAACCTCCTACCAATCTCTTTCCAAAGAAATTGGAACTATTTCCATAATCAAGCAGCACAGAATGACTACAATAGGTTTCCAAGACACTGCAACCCATCCTCTTGCAACAAGGCAGGATGAACACAGCAAAGAGTACGAATGCACACTACCTGCACACATACATATATCATGCTCAGATGACAGGCTGAAAACAGTTACAGAAGTCCATGAAATAAATGTTCTAATTCTCAGAATACTTATTTGTAATGGTTATTAATTCAACTGACAATTCAACTGCTCTGGTGTTAGGTATCTGACTCTTAAAATATTTCACATTGATGTTGACTATGTGTACAGTCAGAAATTTTGGTGTATGAGTGTAGTTATGAAAATTACAAAATAAAGTATGAAAACCCTTCCACTCCCCATCACATCAGCTCTTAGAGAGAACATTAGGGAAGATATTCAAAATTTCTGCCATCTACCACACCAAGATAAAGAGTTGGGGGTGTTGTGTGGTACCTTGCTAATAATTAATGAATTACAAGCTAACAGACAGACGTGCCACAAATCTAATACCAAGGTGTCTCTGGGTCTTGCTGTGTAAGTGTAGGTGTGAAGGTTTTAATGAAAACTGAATTAGAGAATAGTTTGGATTGGAAGGGACCTCAAAGATCATGTAGTTCTGACCCTCCTGCCATAGACAGGGATACCTTACACTAGACCAGGTTGCTCACAGCCCCATCCAACCTGGCCCTGAATACTGCCAGGGATGGGGCATCTACAGCTTCTCTGGGCAACCTGTTCCAGTGCCTTATCACCTTCACAGCAAAGAATTTCTTCCTAATCTCTAGTCTAGACTTATTCTCTCAGTTAGAAGCATTTCCCCTTTGTCCTATCACGTCCTTGTAAAAAGTCCCTCTCCAGCTCTCTTGTATGACACTTTTAAGTAGTAGAAGATACTCTAAGGGATCTCTGGAGCCTTCTCCATGCTGAACAACCCCAACTCTCTCATGCTTGTTTTCACATGGGAGATGTTCCAGCCCTCCCATCATTTTCATGTCACTCCTCTGGACTCATTCTAACATGTCTACACTCTTCCTGTGTTGATCAACAATAACCACTTCAGTGAATACAGATACAGTAGCATGTCCCTGTTTATCATTATTTTAGTTGCCACTTTGTTATTGCTGGCTATATTTTTTTTAGCTCTCCTTTTCTGTATTTAACTTTCTAAGTACTCCAACAAAAAAGGTTGAAGCTGAGTAGCAACAGCTGTGGTCCCTTTCATGTAAGGAAGGGTGCTTCCCAATTGGTTTTCAGCAAATACTGTCACAGGGGTTTCTGGCAGGAAAACCTTTTGATTTATTTACAGCAATAAGACAATTTCTTTCTTCCTATGTTTTCAGTAAGTACAGAGGTAAAAGGATTCCCTTTAGGAATGACAGCAAATGCTTAAAAAATGGCAAGTGTTTAAATTATTTGCTGAATCAGAGTTTGTAACAGCTGACTTTTAAGAAAGTGTTTTGGCATAAAACTGTGGGCAGTATAATGAAAAAATGTTTTCAAGAGAAATAAAGGAAAGAGGTGAAAAGTATGCATCATTTACCACACAGTTCTTTGTATTAATATGAGGTTCAAGGAAGTAAGAGATTTTTTTTTTCTTGGGGAGTCTAAAATTTGGAGACTTGTCATGTTTAGGACCACACACCCCATCTTCCAACTGCAGCAAATAGTTTGTTCTTTTTCATTTAGGTGTAATTTTTGTATCACCAGGGAGTGAGATTTTAAGTCACCAGTTTCTGAGCTTTTGAAGCCTTTTCAAAATTCTTTTCAACATGGCTTAGACAGGCAGAAGTGGGTGGATTAGCTCGACAGCCTGCATCCACTGCTTAGTTCCAAGGTTTCAGTGCAATATGCATCTCACACATACCAAGGCACCTGCCGTGGGTCTTAAGCCCTTTGAGTCATAGGCGTTTAGCTGGTGCCAGAACACTGGGGCTTCCACCAGAAGTGAGAAAGATTTATTTTAAAAAAAGGAAAAAAGCAGAACAACAACAAAAAAAAAATCCCACTACCCAAGGGTATATCTGGACAAACTAGTTTTGCTAATGTAATATGTAAATAGGATTAGTGCACTGAGATTGCTATTATCTGAAGAGACTGCCACGGAAAAGGAAGATTCATGTTTACTTATGCAGACCAGCACAGGGGAAAAAACCCTTAAAGCAGTGATACTGGTCTGGAGATCCAACTAGATCTCCCACCCCTGCTTGAACACTATTGAAATCTTGACCTAATGCAGACCCATCTCTGAAACTGTAAGTTCCAAAATTTGAATTGCCATTATTTTTGTCTAGCAGTCAGTGTTTCATATGTTATTGAAATAAGTTCCATCTGGTAGTACTGATTCAAAGTCAGAGAAAAAACAGTGGGTTGCATGGAGCCACATCAAGAATCACAGGTCCCTGCTCCAAGGAAAGGTACCTGACATTAAGTTCTTGGTAACTTCTGTTATTATTTATTTTTCTTTGTTTTCCCTTCACTTGGTATTTTGAGATAATGTTTAAGTTGGTTTTTTTTTTTCATAAAGAGAAAGAAAAAGTACAGTAATTCACTCTTTAAAATGTGGCCAGCAAGGATTTTGAAATTGCAATTGTCCTTTTAAAGTTTAGGTAGTGTTTACCACCACAAATGTAAATAATGAAGCTGGGAAACTTATTAGGAAAGTTTCTGCAGAATACCCATCATTAGAGAAAACAAAGTCAAATAATTTACATTAATGATCCAGCTTTCTTAATTCGTGACTTCTATACACTGCAAGTGACTTGCATTACATTTCATCAGTGCATGTTTCCAAACTATCTTCTAAATGCTTGCTTAAGGAATAAGACTTCTTTAAGAAGAAACATCTGGAAAGAGACTTTTACCATACAATAAAAAATTATTACTTCTTATTACCCACATAGCTCCATTCTACAGCAGCATTTCATTTTTACCCATGTAAAATGTCCCATTTCCACAACATTGAGCATAATAATAAGTGATCAAGTTTTCAGCAACTGATTACCACACAGCTGCTCACTTAACCTGTGGGTTAAGAACAGTTTAATAACTGAAATTAAGTCAAATGCAGTAATAATGACAATAATAATCTTAATGAAAAGGGAGATAAAAAAGAGAGTGGAATAAAAACCAAGAAAAGCAGTGATGCACAACACAACTGCTCACTCCCCCGACTGATGCTCAGCCCCTCCTGTCCACCTCCTCCCAGTTTATGTGCTAAAATGCTTTATGCTATGGAATGTCCCTTTGGCTAGCTGGGGACAGCTCTCCTGGCCATGCTCCCTCTCTGCTTCTTGTGCACCTGCTCTCTAGCAGAGCATGGGAAACCGAAAACTCCTTGACCAGTAAGCACTGCTCGGCAACAACCAAAACATCAGTGTGTTTCAACCTTAATCTCATCCTAAATT